CGAGCATCTTGACTGAGGTGGTCCACAGCTATTAACAGGCTAGCTGTTCTCTTTCACTCTTTGGCTGCTGTAATTTTAATTTAGAACATCTCATAATCTTTTTTTGTCCAACCCTAAGTGGTATGCCACAAACTTGTTGCTATGTAAGCTCCTCTTGGAGTTAGCACTTAGAGAACGATAAGTGATTAGTTTTCTACAAACTTGGGTATTTCAGCATTTGTTATAACAACAGATGGATTAAAGTTAAGTGGGAGTTAAGATTCAAGAAGTTAAACTGAGAATCTCAAAAGAATAGGCTGTGGAGTTTGCACTCATTATTATTCAAATTACCACACTTGAAGCCCTGCCGTTTGCTGGAGTTGCAAAGTGAAGCAGGCATCCCAAGAAATTACACATTGGCTAGTCTTTCCCAGATAGCTGAGTATCGTAAATAACATCTATTCTCAACCAAGTAAAAGATGTAGGATCTCAAATCATAAGGAAAGCTTCTGATTGACAAATGAAGGTCAGGCAGTTGGAACAGTTATATAATTGGATAGAGAAATCAGCAAGGCATTCTAAAAGAAATTAAATGGGAGAGGATCAATGTTTGAAAAAATAACATGACTTTGTCAAAGTTAAGCATCAAATGGTTGGGCATGTTTAAGGTGCCATTCTACAATCCTTCGGAGTAATTTACACAGGAAAATTACACAGAAAAGCCACTTGATTTATAATGAACAAAGAATCAATTAGTATATTTCTATTTAATAATTTTGGCTATATTCATAAAATTTTGTGTTTTTTTAAAGGTAATATTTTGACCAGTCCTTTGGTACCACTTATGGTAAAATTTTGGTATTCACATCAAATGGATTCACTTTCTGAGCTTTTCTTTGCTGACAACAATTATCCTCAGATAATGAAGACTTCCTGTACTTAATTTGTAAGTGATGGAAAGGCTCTGAAGGTTTTTTTCTTTTCTGGCAGGTGTAGGGGTTGGGTGGGTTGGGAGGGAACTAACATTTTACGGAAATAATGCTATTTGGTGATTTATAATCATCACATTTAGTTCTGGTTGAGCAAGAGTGAAGTGACTATAATTACTCTTGAGAAGTTTAAAGGGTTACAGTGACATAATAATGAGACCAGTAAAGAACCTCTTGTGAAACCAAGGGTCCTTATGACTTAGATTTAATTTAGTTTTAAATCCTAGCTCTAGAAATCCTCTTTCTCTTTCTACTCCTCAGAGACCATGGGTGCTATTGCTAAATAATAATAATAATAATAAACCTTCCCAAGCATTTTGGGATTTTATGGATTAGGAAAACAAAAAAAAGGGTTGCCCTGGATAGTCAGCAAACCCTAAGGCAGCAGAAGACAATAGCCCGGACCAATGGTCACTAGGTCTGGACTTCTGGCATGCTACAGATAACATGACCTAAGTTACTTTCAGTCCCTGAGCCCTAAGGAAGGAAAGGCCCTCTGGCTTTCTCAAGGGACTGTACAGAGGGATGCTATGGAAAAGACCTGAGTTGTCCTCAAGACCTGAATAAATGATATATTACCCTTATCTCACCTCCGACCAATCAGCTGCCAGCACGAACCCCAACCTCCAGCCCACGCGTACCTTGTGATTTTGCCCCGTAGGGTCTGTAAACGCCATGGGAAAGTTGGATGTTTTTAGAGTAAAAGCCTCTGTCTCCAAATTGGTCACTTCAGTATGCAACAATTCTTTCTATTCTGCAAACTCCTGCTTGTGCATTTTTTTGTGCCAGTGCACTCAGGGAGGTGGACTCAAGGGAAAACCCCGGGGTTCCAGTAACACTAATAGCCTAAGAAAGAGAGAACAGGGTTGGCCTAGGGTGGTAGCAGTGGCAAGAAAAGAATTCCTTGCAGATGAGGCTTCATTACTTTTCCTAAATCAGCTTCTAGGGAGGGAGTTTCTAAAGCTAATTCCAAGGAGACGCTCTTAAAGGACACTGAGACATCAGAAGGCGAAAAGTTTGATGCACTGTTCAAATGTGGACTCGAGTATTGAGGTGTTGGTGAGATTTTCATGTGGAGAAAACCAGCAGAAGATAGTTGGAAATATTAACATAGAAGGATTCCGAGAAGGAAATATTTTTTTCATTATTTAATTTGTAATTGCACAATAAACCTCCCCCTCAATCATTTGGCTACCGATATTTTTTGGCATGCATGAGAAAAAGCAACTATTTCCATTGTGGTAAAGGTTTTATTGAAGAAACTTGATGAATAGAAACACTTCATGGCTAAGTAAAGACAAGACAAACATGGTGGCTAAAAAATATAAAAGTGAATTTAGCTGTATCCATTCAAAATACCGGAGTATCTGTTTGTAATGTGGATTTACTTGATGCCGGTTAAATGTGTTAACAAGTTACATAAAAGCAACTGTAATACTAAAAAGTTACTTAACAACCTCCACACAAGTGTCCTGGGCTGTTAATATATTAGTCCTCCTATAATGACTGTTTCCAGTTTCTACTTTCTCCTGCATCTATTAATTCTATCTTCAAGAGAAAATAACTTACCCAAATTCACCCCAATCAGTGCTAACATTTCCTCCTCTGTAACTTGCTAATTTCTATGTCAATCAAACAATATTTGAGCGACTGCTCTATCTGGCATTCGGTCACTTAGATCTGGCAGTCTAGCACCACTCTCCTAACATATAGGGAATATTGCTCTGTCTCCCCCACCCCCAAAAAGACAAAGGATTGCATAATACTGGATCTCAGAAATGCTTATGAACAACCGCGGCTGCTCCCTCCCCAAACACATACTGCAGCATTATATTTACCTCTGCTTTGAAAACAATGTTCTCAACTAAACCACTTAGCCAGTAAACATTTTTGAGAAAAATAAACATGAAACAATCCATATTCCTGGGGGGAAGAATTTCTAATTCCAAATAGGCAGAGGATCTAGTAATTATTCTAATGAATACTTTTCTAAAGAGGCCTGTAGTTGAGTTCTTACCTTTCCAATTTAAAACTGCTTAGCTGGACCAGTAAGTGCGCAACTTTAAAGAGACATGTAAAACGTGCGCCTTTAGGCATGGGTGCTTGGTACAAGCCCAAGGCATGAAACGGTAAGAAGCAAGGACCTGATTTTAAAGGCGGTTCTCAGCAGCTAGTCGTTTCTTTCTCAATTTTTTTTTTTTAAAGAAACAAATGAATTTTCTTAATATTCTATTTTCTGGTAGCCATCCGATACGTCATTTCAGAGGAGTAGGGAAAATAGATGATAGTGTGATGGGGAGGGAAGAGGAGGAAAAATGAAGGATACTACAAGTTTGACTAGGATTCTTCCAGTGTTATGATTCTTAGCAGGAATCATAACTGATAAAATCCGGCTTTTCCAGGCTGCTACTTTTGCGAGGCTTTAATAAATGAACTCTACGCTCAAAGGCGAAACTTCTCCCCTTTCCTCCATTCTCCTCTTCTACCTCCAAAGTCGAAATCCCCAGGATCATACAGACGGGATTCTTTCCCTCCC